GCGGAACCTTAGGTATTCACCAGGGTGGGGCAACCCAGTTCTCTGTGTTGTCGTGTTGTATGGGTGGGTGGGGTCTGAGAGGAAACAATGTCGCTTGCTCCACTCTCTGCCAGATTTCAGTCACTTCCCCCACTACCTATAAGCAAATTGGGCCCTTCTGGTGCTGATTCCTGGGTGGGTGGGCTTGTGTATGTTCTAGGACCCTGTGGGTCTCTCCGACAGACTCTCCTGTGAGGCAGGGAGTTTCTCCCGCTGCCACGTCAACACCCACAGGTGTTTTCAATCAGTGGTTTGAGGCTTTATTTCTCCGCGCTGGGACCCTGGGTTGTGAGGTCGGTCTCGCTCCCCAGGTGTTCCTCCCCATTTATCCGCACATGAATGTGGGACCAACCGCCCATTCCTCCAGCCACTACCCTGCCCACCCCAGTGCTCCACTGCTGCTTCGATGTGAGCCCTCTCTGCCAAGCTGCCCGTCTCCACTCCTACCAGTCTAGATGGATGTGTCTTCTTTAACTCCTTTGTTGTTGGACTTCCATACAGTTCGATTTTCTATCAGTTCTGGTTATTTTTTTGTTTTTAAATTGTTGTCCTTCTTTTGGTTGTGTAAGGAGGCACAGTGTGTCTACCTACAGCTCCATCTTGGCCGGAAGTCCTGGGAAATGCTTTTTTAAAAAGTCCAGTTATAATTTACAATGAATGTCGAATATGTTGAAACTCTTAAAATCTGAATTTGCAATTCTCTGAGCAAAGGGAGACACGGGATAGGTTAAGCCCACATGGAGTATAGGAATGTCAGGGAAGGTGCGAGAAATCCTGAAGCTGCCAGTGGCCAACATTCAGATGGATGTATGCCACATTCTGGAAGAAAATTATGGTTAAGAGATGGAAGCTTCTTTGGGCCCAGCAAGTCCCAGGATTCAGTATCTGAAAGCCTTACAGAGTCAGCTCCTGCTGGCTTTGTTCATCCCAGGGAGACAGGAATGACAGGGATAAGGGTAGGGTAAGGGTGGAGAAAGAGAAGTAGTCCTCCCAAACCCCACCTAAGTTACCCTACATCAGGGGTTGAGAAACTCAAGTATCCACAGACAAAAAAAATGTGTTCAACAAGCTAGACATAAAGAACAGAACAAGCACCCCAATGACCTCTTCCCCCACCCAGGGCCCCTTGCATCCCTCCAGCCAGGAGTGGCCACTGTGAGGACAAACTGATATCCTCAGGCGGTCCTAACCTGTTTTGTTGTGGGTTTTTTTTTTTCACTTTGATGGAGAAAGGATTATCATGAAGAAACAACAATGTTTTCTTTTAATTTAATGTTGGTTGATTTTAGAGAAAGAAGAAAGGAGAAAGAGAGAAAGAGACAGATTTGTTGTTCTACTTATTTATGCATTCATTCATTGATTCTTGTATGTGCCCTGACCAGAGATTGAACCTGCAACCCTGGCATTTCAGGTTGACACTCTAACCAAGCGGCTACTTGACCAGGGCAGAAACAGTGTTTTCAAGAGAAGCCAGCAACCCAGATTTGTATACAGAACTTCCCAGTACTAAATATTGGCTGAAAATTTTTAAAACACCTCACAGGCCAAACAGTACAGCTAGGTGAATTTGGCCCAGCAGATGCCAATGCGTGGCCTGACATTTCCTATCAGGTCTGGTGAAATATCAGGATGCTTTTTGACCAAAGCAAATTTCGGAGTTAATTGGGGCACAACTTAAACACAAATAAGTTTCATAGAATTGCAGAATTTTTGTGTTAGAGTCCAGTCTGGATTTCCACCCAACATAAAAATCTGGTCTTTTCCATCAAAGTAGAAGCAGTTGGCCAACACAAGTCAGAGACTGTGGACAGCAAAGGAGGGCATCCCAGGAGGAAGCCTCTGTGTTGGGACCAGCCCTGTTTGCTGTAACTGGGGGCAGCCCATGGGAGCAGCAGTATATCTGCAATGGCAGGTGATGATGCTTCACAGGACTTACAAAGATTTTCTTCTCTATTGTTGTGGACCTCGTACTGGAATTAAGCTTCTGGCTGCTCTGTTCCATGAGGTGTCACAGGGCCCAACAACATCCTTCTGGATAGAGTCAGATCCTAAGAATTCTATTCTTGGAGAAATGTCTTCCTGGGTGGGTCATTTGGGGTGGACCTACTAAGACACCAGTTTCGTTCTCCACCTCTTCTCTGTGTCCACATGGGGGCTGAGTTGCCAGGTGGAAAGCTAGTACTAAGGGTACCACCCCGACAATGAGGGCAGAGTGAGAGAACTGGCAAGGCGATGATAAGCATCTCTATTAATGGGGTGAGGAAATGTACTCTATGGCATGTACAGAGTAGGAGTAGGTGTAAAACTAGTCCCCTCCACCTTCCCCGGTGATTCCATCCCTCCTACTCTCCTGGGCTCTTATTTTAGCAATATAGTTAATGGCATATATTTAATCTCTCATCTGTCCTGGTTTCTGCATTTCATCCTCTAGGTAGACATTTGTTTTCCTTTTCTTCCCAAAGAGTTTATCTGATATTTCCTTTCTTTTCAACTTACTAGTGTGGCTTCTGCTCACCCTGCCCTTCCACTGAAGTTGCCCCCTTTAGGGTCACCTCTCACCCAGTTTGTCAAACTCGATCTTATTTTACTGAAGCTTTCAGGCCCATTCACCATCTTCTCCTTGCCTTCCTGAGATTCCAGGACATAACTCTCCAGGCCTTCTCCTACCTCCCTGACTGCTGTGTCTTTTTCTGCTGGCTCCTTTGCCTTCACCCCATCTTTAAAGGTTACTGTTTCCAGAGCTAATGCTACCCCCATATGGAATCTTTGTAAGAAGTAGGTAATAGTGCACTGTACTGACTGGGCACATACCTGGGCCAGGGTACGTGGCTTGGCAAGCAAAGCTTGAACCGAACTTCAGGCCCCACTCACCCCACTCAGCCTGGCACCCCTGTGCCATGAACTAGCTGTACAATTGCATGCTGCTGCCCAGGCTGCTATTCTCCATCCATGTCTCTTCTTTCTTTTACTCCCTTTCCCTCTGCAAGCTTGTTGTTTTTATTGTTCCAAGACCTCTGTGTCCTATTTGATCTCTAGACATCTTTTAATTGGCCTCCTGGACTTTTCCTGGGTGTTCTGTGAGAACTCCAAATTTGCCAAGGCCCAAACTGAGTTCATTATCTGCTCACTCATGTACTACCAAACATCTATTTTTCTGTATTCCTCTTCTTGGTGGATGATCTCACTATCTATCCTCTCATTCAATTGAAAACTTCCGAATTATCCAGCCTCTCCCCCTTCCACAGTTCAAGGCTTTTGTCATCTCCCAAATGGACTCCTGGAATAGCCTTCTAACTAGTTTCTCTATCTCCAGAATCTCTCCCCTCCAAATCATCCCACTGCTGCTGAGTTCCTTTCTTTACATAGAACTAAGCATATTCTCCTTTGTTTAAAAACTCATTTGGTTTCTAATTAACCATATGATAAAATCCAAATGCTTAGGCATGACATATAAAATCCTTCACACCCTGACCCAAACCTACCTTTCCAGTCCTACACCTTGCCCCTGATCTCAAAACCTTTGTTGCTCTCAACCACATCAGACTATGATGCAGTTTCTTGAACATGATTTCACCGTGTACTTTAATTCCTCTGTGCCTTTGCTGGTGTCTCGCATGCTTTTCTTCTGCCTCTCCTCCTTCAAAAGCCTATTCACTGTTTAAGATTATGCTAATTTTTCACCTCTTTTCTCAGACACATTTGGCCTTAATTAACAGCTCTTTCCTTACTGTTTCTACAGCACTACTGATAAGCTAGTACAGGTTGTCCAAAGTGATTTTTACATCTTTCTCATTACATTGTGAATTTCTTAAGGGCAAGATTAAGCTTTGTTAGTTTCCATACCACCAGCAGCTTGCCTGGTATCTGGTATATGGTAGATATTGAATAAAATGTTGAGTTGAATTGGGCAGGATGCTTGAACATCATTTTGTAAAAGGACCAACGATTTCTTTCAGCATAGTTTTCAGCCTGTTCCTTTTCTTCAGACATCAGAACACTTTCCAATAGGACAGTTAACAGGCCCTGTTGGAGATATTTGCTAAGTCACATCCCCAAACTTTAGCTAGGTCTCTCTGGGGACATAGAGACTGTGATTTCTCAAATGAATGATTGGGGTCTGAGTGTGGATTTTTCCAGATTTTGGAGTTCCTTAGAACCAGTGATGATTTTCAAACTGGGATCTAGATTCTAGGTTCCAGAGAAGACTCTCACTGTTTCAATGATAAGGAAGAAATATCTGTATCTGTTTTATTACCTGGGGGTCCCATCCTAACATCTCACTAAGGGTTGAGATGCTAGAGCAGGCAAAACAATATAAAGGGACTAAACAATCTCAAAACCTTGTAAAAACAGCTGAGTTATCCTGACAGCCTGTGGGCGGGGGGGGCGGGCGGGGCTCCTGTAGGTTTTGTACAGTGTCTGGCAAAACAGCTTCGTCTGCAAAACAGCATTGATGCTTAACACTGATCTCTGTTGAACCTCACAGTGCCTGCTGGGCTAGGTAGGTGACAGTCACCAACTCTACGAAGGCCTGAATGAGTCGTTTTCTTGAAATTAGCAGATGCTCATTTGTAAAACCCACCCTCTTAGAAGATAAATTATCTTCTAAGGGAAGAGCGGGAAGGAGCTTGGTACCCATTTCCCCTCAAATACAGGCACTTGGTTCTTACTAGAATCCAAGCAACAAGTTGTCAATGAAATTGCAGAGACGGGTCAGCAAAGGACGCCTCTACATAGGGAGAGACTTGGGTACATTTTTGAGGGGGCAAGTCACCCCGTCCTAAGCCATGCCTGTGCTTAATATGCAGCCCCTGAGCTCTGCCCTGTCGTCCCCTCTTGGCTTCTGAAAAGGCGTAATGGAGTCAATTCCCCAAAGCTAGAGTGTTCGGGCTCTGCGCGTCCGTGGCACCCGTCAGGCTCCGCACTCGGAGCCGGCCCGGTCCGGGTGGCCCGGAAGCGGGGTCCCGGTTGGCAGAGAGCAGAGCGCCGACGCCGCCTGGGGATGGTGGGCGGCCGAGAGAGGCTGTGGGGGCGGAGGGGCCTCCGGAGCCGCCTGGGGCACGGGGAAGACGAAACCGGGCAGCGAGTCCGCCCCCGACTGCCCTCCCGCGAGCCGGGCCACCGGCCCCCGCCGGCGCTGACTCAGCAACGCGAGGGAGGGAGTTTTGTCCCTCCACGGACCCCGTTTCTCTCGGACTCAGCCCTCGGCAGCTTCCCCGCCCGTTTTCTCTTTCCGGCGCTCGGCGCGCGAGAGGCAGGTCGGGACTCTTAGGCAGCGATCCACGGAGCCACCCGGGCAGTCACCGAAGGACCCCGGGCACTACCGTTCCCCAGCCGGGCAGCGCGGACGCCATGAACAGCGTGGGTGAGATGCCGCTCTTCCCCGCCGGGGCCGGCAGCGGGGCGGGGCCGGGGCCGGGGCCGGGGCTGGGGGTATGGAGGAGATGGAGCTCCCTGGGCGGGCTGGAGCGGCCTCGTGGAAGACAGCATCTTGGGGATGGACCACTGCCATGGTCATCTCAGGATGCCCTAATGAAGTAGACAGCCAGGGTGTGGGAGTCCCTGACCAGCCCTCTGCAGCCTCTTGTTGGTGTTATCATCCCATTTGGTTTTCCAACAGGACTGAATACGGAGAAGGTATCGAGTCTGCTTCAGAAACTGAATTCCGACCCTCAGTTCGTACTCGCCCAGAATGTCGGGACCACCCACGACCTGCTGGACATCTGTCTGAAGAGGGCCACAGTACAGGGCAGTCAGCATGTGTTCCAGCATGTTGTACCTCAGGAAGGCAAGCCGGTCACCAACCAGAAGTTCTCAGGTGAACTCTTAACACTTCAGGCAGACTTTACTGGACCTTCCTGACTGTCCCATTTTAAGAATGACTTTAGGGGAGCAGAGGTTTGAATCGAAAGAACTGGTAGAAAATTCCTGGAGAACAGGAATAGGTAAAGGCAAGTTCAAGAACATTACTTTGTGACTTGTTTTGGTGCTCTGTTGTATTTTATTTGAGCACTAAAGTGACAAGTGCATGGTCATCTGTTTGAATGTAATTCACCAGACTCTGCTGAAGTTAAGTGATTGCATGCCCATGTCTTGGAGATATATATGTTCTTGGTACAAAACAGACCATCCAAAAAATGTTCATTTCCAAGAGGACGCCCCCAAATTGCCTTGAAGGCCATATACAGTGTATAAAATGGAAAAGACACAATGTAGTCACATCAACATGTCATAGAACATTATTTTTAAATGTGTTTCTTGGTTGCAACTTGAGAAAATGTTGGCTCAGTTACCACCAATAGAACAGTTTGTAATACAGAACATACTTCAGGTCTGTCTTACTGGTCAAGAGCTCTTGTTTTCTTAACTATTATCTAGCCCTACTATCAGAAAAACAGCCACAGTGAAAGGAATCTAAATGAGGAGGACATTTTGAGAACAAAATTGTACTAATAAGACATTTTAAAAATATCCTCACCAGAAGATATGTTTGTATTGATTTTAGAGAGAGAGGAAAGGAGAGAGAAACATTGATCAGTTGCCTCCTGCATGTGCCCTGACCAGGAATCAAACCCGCAGCCTTTGGGTGCACAGGATGATGCTCCAACAGAGCTAGCCAGCCAGGGCCCAAAAGGACCTTTATTTAAAAATATTTATTTCTTAGAGAGAGGGGAATGGAGGGGGAGAAACATTGATTGGCTACCTCTTGTACTTTCTATGACCAGGAACCAAACCCACAATGCAGGTGTGTGCCCTGACCTGGAATCAAACTGGCGACCCTTCATCCTATGGGATGGCACCCAGTGAACTAAGCCACACTGGCCAGGGCTCGAAGGATTTTTTAAAGTCTATCCATTTTAAACCTATTCCCAGTCTATTTTGACAGATAGCAGATCAGTGCTTGCTTAGAGTTAGTCAGAACTCAAACTGTGCATTTAACATGGTTATATTTTATTATATGTAAATTATACCTCAGTAAAGTTGATCTTTAAATGTTAAGGAAAAATAATGACCTTGCAATAATATTTTGCTGCAGTAGAAAGTGGGTAGGGTGGTATGTACCATCAAGCTGCAAATTATATAGTTAGTAATGTCACAGTGGCCCTACGTAGTTTAGATTGCAGTAGCCTCTTAGGGAAAAGTGGGGAAATGGTCATTTGGAAGAGATTAGGTCTTATATATTCTGTAGTGTCACTTTTATTTACAAATGATACAAATAGTACATCAACTATGTAGTTATTTTCATGCAGTTTTTTTAAGATTGTATTTATTTTTAGAGAGGGAAAGGGAGGGAGAAAGAGAGGGAGAGAAACATCAATGTGTGGTTGCTTCTCGTGTGCCCCCCACTGGAGACCTGACCTGTAACCCAGGCATGTGCCCTAACTGGGAATTGAACCAGCGACCCTTTGGTTTGCAGGCCAGCACTCAATCCACTGAGCCACACCAGCCAGGGCTTCATACAGTTTTTACATTAATAGTTCATGCAGATTCCTGCTAGTGGGAAATAATATAGTAGATATGAGAGAGGTAGCATAGAGATAAACCCAAGGTAAAGGTGGGGTCTGCCGAGTCATTAATGACTTTCAAAAAACACTGTAGTTACTTATTTTTTTTCTTGTTATACAGTTACTGTTGTTCAGTGGAGAATATTTGCAAAATACTGACATGTAAATATTTTTTCTGTCAGGTCTTTAGTGTGTGTGTGTGTGAGAGAGAGAAATATGGGTGGATACCTTAAATATTGTTAGGTGACCTACCTACCTTTTCTACTTATGAATATATTGTGAACATATTTTCATGTCAGTAAAAGTTACGCCCAAATGTAAGTCATTTTATCTCTCTGAATTTTTATTCCAAAGAGAAGTGATCTATATTTGAGGCCTTATAAAGACTCTCATAATGAGCCCTCTCAGTTAATTTATTTTGAAGTAAAATATCATTTGGCAAAGACATTCTGAAATAACCTCAATTCGTGCTAGTTTTGGATGCTTATAAAGATCAATTGATTGAATCAATTTTTTAAAAAGCAAAAAAATTTGAACACGGTGTATTCCTGGGTATTGCAAATAGGCCTTCTAAAATAGAATCGCTCATGTCAGTGCAGGAAACAGTGACGTCGCAGAGTTTGTGATTGTCCACTTGCAAGGCAGATGAAGAGTGAATGTATAGTCGAGGCGTGGCATAAAATGTTCAGGGACAGCATCGTGTGTGGATTCAGAACATTGCTAGACATCCTTGATGGGAGAAAAATGATGTATTCTGATTGAAAGAGTGGATCTAACCATGGCGAAGGCTCTGATGCCACAGTGCACGTGAAACATATTTTAATTGTCATTGGGAGAAGGGGGATTGACTTATGTTAGTGTTACCTTATACTGAAGCATATACTGTATGTTCCAGATACAGGGCAGAGTACTTTTAAAGCTTTACCGCGTATTGCCCTCAGATGTTCAGTACCTGTTCAGATTGCTGTCCAGAGTGTATGATAATGCCATTTCCCCAACCCCTTGCCAATATTGGACATTATAAATTAAAAAATAATGTTTCCCCACATAACAGGTATCTTATAATGAACTTAAAAAATTTTTTTTTGTCCTGACTGGTGTGGCTTAGCTGGTTGGGTGATGTCCCACAAAGTGAAAGGTCGCCAGTTTGATTCCCAGTCAGGGCACATGGCTGGGTTGCAGGTTTGGTCCCTGGTTGGGGTTCTTACAAGAGATAACCAATCGCTATTTCTCTTTTATATTGATGTTTCTGTCCCTTTCTTTCACACTTCCTTCCCCTCTATCTAAAAAAAAATACATAAAAATCTTTAAAAAAAACATTTTTGTTTGGTTACCACTTGTATCTTTATGGTCATTAAATTATGTATGACCTCTGCTCATGTTTCTCTATCAGTATTTCTTTTTACTTTCTTTTCAGATTTTAAACCAAGCTCTGGCCAGTTTTATTAAAGAAAAATGTTGCATAATTTACTTTCCATGCTTCTAATGGTATCAGAATCACCTAGATCAGTGATAGCCAGTGTGTATATCCTGTAGTATTTCCCACACATTACGCCCAGTTCAATATTATTGCCACTTTAGTGATGGACACCAGTCTTGGCCGATATGGCACAGTACTCTATCTCAGATTTTTTCAAGGCTGGACAGTTGTTGGCAAGGATGACCAGTTTCGCTTTGCCCTATCTGATCAATTTCAGTCTGCTTGAACCCCAAAAGCATGTACTTTCCACTGTGTATAACAAGTTGGAGCCTCGAGTTGATCGACCCCAGCTACGTTTTTGTCTTTTTTTGTAGCTACTGTCTTCCTGCCTTAGCTGTAGGACAGCCTGCAACCAAGAGCCGCTGTTAAGATGGCCAGGGAGCAAGAAGGCTCTCTTATCAGTAGTATTTCCAATGTGGTTTTCTTTTTTTTTTTAATTTTTATTTTTAATTTATTGATTTTTAGAGAGAGAGAAACATCGATTTGTTGTTCTGCTTACTCATTGTATTACTCACTGCTTACTGTTCTTGCATTCATTGGTTACTTACTGTACGTGCCCCGACCAGATTTCGAACCTGCAACCTGGGCATATCAGCACGATGATCTAACCAACTGAGCTACCTGGCCAGGGCCTAGTGTGATTTTCTTAGGTGGTTTGTCGTGGATTCTTTATGTGATATGTAAAGAGATTCTTTTTTATATGTTAAGAATGTTACACCTTTGCAGGTATATAGTGCAAATAGTAATTACTACTTTTCTTGTTTTTAAAAAATATTTCTGCTTTTTCTGATTTAGTCTTAAATTGTTCAAGATCTTGTCAGGGGCTCATTGTTGGGAAATATAGTGTAATCTGTGTGAACACTCATCATAATTTCTTGGTTTGCTATCTTGTTTCAGGGCGATGCTGGATCTTTTCTTCTCTAAATGTTATGAGACTTCCATTCATGAAAAAATTAAATATTGAAGAATTTGAGTTTAGTCAATCATACCTCTTTTTCTGGGACAAGGTATGGGACTGATTTTCTTTGTTTCACTATCAACCTTAAGAGGGACTGTCTCTTCATTTCTTGCATTTCAAGTTGCATCTTACCTCCATTTTATAGATGTGACACCCTTTGTTCTGATTTCTAGAGTATCAAAAGTTGACTTTTTCAAAGGCAGAACTGCCTTTGGTTGGTAGGTGTCCATGTTTTGCAATGAAACAAATCTGTTGACTGGCCCTACTGCCTCCTTGTTTCTTTCTTAACTGATTGAACATTTTTAAGTTTGTTTTTAATAATTTTTCCTTAGCACCTTTATTTAGGTTATTTGGTCTTTCTAGGACCTAATTTTGCTTCTTTGGGTAGTACTTGACTGAAAATAGTAAATAATTTTATTCCATTTTTTAAATCTTTAAAATATATGTTTCATGAGTGTCCGTTGGATGTTTATTGATTGAAGGCTTTAAATAACAGATTTTATTTCAAAATAAAGCAATGCCTTGTTTTGGATAAACTGTTGGAATGTGTATACACAAGTATAAAAAGAAACTTTAAATATTTTTATGAGGCCAGATACTGATATTTAGTTACCTACTTTAGTTTAAAAATACCTATTACATGCACATGAAACTAATATAATGTTATGTCAATTATGCTTCAATAAAAAAGATTAAAAAAAACCCACTGGAAACTCTTATGTCAATTATATTCCATTAAAAAAAAAGCAAACCTACTGTATGGGGTCTATAGTAATTCCAAGATTGCTGTTCTGTTGATAATGCAAATAAAGGTATTAATTAATTTTATTTAACTTCTCTACTCTAGGTTGAACGCTGTTACTACTACTTAAATGCTTTTGTGGACACAGCCCAGAAAAAGGAGCCTGAGGATGGAAGGCTGGTGCAGTATTTGCTTTCAAATCCTGCAAATGATGGGGGACAATGGGATATGCTTGTCAATATTGTTGGTAAGAGCCTTTCTCTGATGCAATTGAAGCAGAATGATTAAGCAAGGCTCTGTAGTTAGGGATAGACCATGTCTTTGATGGTTAGGCACAGAGCAGAACTGGTCTCCAGAAGGGTATGTAGTTAGCTCTAAGAACTTTAATCCCGCACACTCACCTATAAAGTACCTTTCCTAAATGGGAGGTAAGGAGATAGGTGCTATGAAGGGTGGATTGGAGAAGAAAAAGTTGTGTTAGCTAGAACTAATGTTCTATACAAAGAAACTTTTCTCTTGATGTAATTAAGAAACATTGAAACTTCCAACTGTTTGAAAATGTCCTCATTCTAAAAAGGGTTGTCTTTTGGAAAAACCTCATCACGCTGAGCATTTTACAAAGTGTGATAGATAAAAAAGAATAGAATTAACTCTATGGTAGATGGATAAATATGGAGATTAACCTGTTTAATTTTATGAAGCATAAGATTATTAAGTTTTCTGAGGCCAACAAAATATGGCCTCATTTTTAAAACAATAGTTATTTTTGCCAGGATTTTTAATGCTAGAGTGCTAGAGTTTACTTTTACCTTATTGAACACTAAAATTTATTTTCTTTTAGAAAAATATGGTGTTCTTCCTAAGAAGTGCTTCCCTGAATCTCATACAACAGAGGCGACCAGAAGGATGAATGATATTCTGAATCACAAGGTACAACGTACGGAGCAGGGTGGGATTGAATTTACTGAACTTACCTTAAAACTTCGAACTGATTTTCCAAGGGGATTTCTGAACATTTCAGTGTACACAGTTTGTGTACAAGATAACTAACCAGTGTCTCACAAAAACAGTGTAGCTGTGTATTAACAAAAAAAATAATTGGGATTAGGGTGTGTTTTTTCTTTTTAAAAAGCTTCCACTTTTATTTCTATTGATTTTAATATTTTCTTCTGAGTACTCAAGAAAGTCTTATGTTTCAGTAATATGGGGCAGAAGCACACTGGGTACGATGCCTCTCACTTGGTTCTAGTGGAAATGGGCTGGGGCAGTGTTAGGTACTGGTAAAAAGAAAAACCTGAAAACCTACTTGTGAGATTTCCTTAAAGAGTATGCTGACTTCAGAGGCTTCCCCAAACCACATCAGTGCAGTTTATTCATACACTAACGATTTGATGTAGTCACTGAGCCGCTTTTTATTGCTTCATTTATCTTAATAGATCATTCTCTTTTCTCTGCATAACCCATTTCCCAAGGAGGATTATAAATCCTATAGAGATGCTGCTTTGTCAGCCAGATGTCTTTTTTGAAAACTGGGAGTTGCCAGAATCTGCTCTCCTGATCTGTGAGGCTAAATTGGATTTGTCATTCTTGGGAGAAAGATGACATTTTAAGATAAACTGTAGATGTGTTTCTCCAATTAGAAGTAGGTTACTTTCTACCTAGGAAATACTGGGGATTCTTATCCATAGGCTAAAAGATCACTAACAATATAGCATTGGGTTCCATTTTAGTTGAAAGCAAAATCTTCTTTAGCATCGTAGTTAGATTTCAGGCCCACCTTTGTTTTGGGCATCTCTAAAATTTGAAAACAACAAAAATGAAAGTTGTATTGGGGGGTTGGCCTAGCCATGGTCATAATGGTTTGGTAGAGAAGTAGACAACCAGGAAAATTCTAAATAAAAATCTGTGAGAGTGATTTAATGGCATAATCATCTTAAGTCTCTTGCTTTTTCTATGGGACACAAGCATTATGGAATCAGATGTATTTCCCATACCCAAGCATGTACTGTCACAAAGAGTGCCCTCTCTTACAGAGCAGGAGCTCTTCATCCAGTCTGTTTCGGGAATAATCCATGTTTTTTTTTTTTCTATGGAAAGTGTTTTTAGCTGTATGTTCCAGTAGACTGGTTGGAGAAAAACACATTTGCTTTTATGAACTTTGCCCTGGGTCTTGGCTGAGTTATGCTTCAAAATAGAACGAGCATTGGTGGGTTAGGCTCATTTGCAGTTGAATTTGGTAAATATTGTGGTGCTGAATGACTGACTTTCTGCTATAGTTGAGAGAATTCTGTATACGCCTGCGGAACCTGGTCCACAGTGGAGCGACCAAAGGAGAAATCTCAGACGTGCAGGATGTCATGATGGAGGAGGTAATAACAATTATTTGGACTTTTTGTGATCTTTCTAGGAGCTTCTAGGAGAGTCTAGGATTCTCAAGGAGCTTGGGGAAAAGAAACACATGGATAATTATAAATCCCACGATAGGGATGTGTGAAAAAGATTTGGTGGTCATAGAGGAGAGAGTGATTAATTCAGTCAGCTGAAGGTTTCATGTGGAAGGTATTTGAACCAGTTCTTGAAAGAACAGTAGGAATTTACCAGATGGATAGTAGGGAAGACCATTCTAGACAAAAGGAATAGCGTGAACAAAGGGGGAATTCTCAGAGAGTAGTGTAGCTGAAACATACATTTTCTGAGTGTGATTGGTAGCAAATTAAGCTAGAAGGGCAGAAATGTGAAGGATCGCAGAAGATACTGAGACTTTTGTCTCTATTCTGTAGAGATAAAAATAGGAAAGTATTAGTGGTTGTATCAGTAAAAATAACGAATGTATAATAAAATTGATGGTTATATCAGAAAACATTTTGGAAAACCCAAAATGCATTAGGCAAATTTAAGGTGGTAATATTTATTATAAAAGCAGTTAAGAATATAACTTAATACCATAATCCAGAAGAATATGCGTGAACCTCTGAAACTGCTTTGAAAAAAGAATAAACATTTCCTTTTTTCATCTTGTGGACCCTTAACTAGGAGTTACTCAAATAACAATTTCCTTTTACTGCAGTGGACAACACTCATGTTTTCCTTTGAAGTTTAGAGAGGAAGTACAGTGTATTTGAAAGCGTGGTCTGGAGTCAGACTGTCTGAGTTCTGGGCTCATTACTAAGCAGCCATGTGACCTGAGTCAGGCACCTTAAGCTCTCAAGTCTCAGTTTATTTAAATGCATAGCCTATGCTAAACACAGTAGCTGTTTCTTAAGTATTTGTTGAATGGGTTAATGTAGAGATTTCATTTTGCCAAACGCATTTAAATTATCTCATACTTAACCCTTTATTTTATTATTTTTTAAATATTTTATCTATTTTTAGAGAGAGGGGAAGGGAAGGAGAAAGAGAGGTAGAGAAACATCAATGTGTGGTTGCCTTTCACGTGCCCCCAACTGCAGACCTGGCTCACAACCCAGGCATGTGCCCTGACTGGGAACTGAACCAGCAACCTTTTGGTTTGCAGGCCCCCACTCAATCCACTGGGCTACACCAACCAGGGCTTAACTCTTTTTAAATGTTCTCGTTTTGGAATGGTATCTGGGTGTAGTAGAAAGAAGTAGTCGGACAGATGTGGGTTTCAATTCTGATTCTGTCACTTAACAGCTCTGTGATCTTGGGTAAGATACTTAGCTTAAGAATTTAGTTTGGGACTTAAAATATATTCCTCATTGGATTTTTGTGGGAATCAAATACATATCAAATGTAAGAATGCGAGGCATAGTGTCTGGCACATAGCAGTTGTTCAGTAAATGTTAGTTCTCTTTTTTTTCTGCTTAGAATGATTTCTCTTCTTGAGGCCATATCTCTTGCATAATTTGTTTTCCTTCATGATTATGATGAGATGGCGGGCTTAGTAAAGTTGAGGTTTCTATAAATAGTTATGGTAAAGGACCCAGATAATACATCTTACAAATCATAAGCCTCCTGCAGGCTTTTGATGTTTGTTTTAATGATCTTTTAAAGGAGATGTCTTAAGATCTACTCCTGGCCATTAGGGTTGGCTGGTGTGTTTTACATATCTTTCCTCCTTTACTCCTACTTTGGAAAAATAATAAGATATTATCATACCAAATCCTGAGTGTGGCCATTTTTAGGGTTATTTACTTAATGGTTCTGCCTAAACTGTTGACTATGGAATTCTGTACAGTAGATTTTTAAATTTTACAATCCTCTAAGTGACTCTTCTTCATTGAACCTGACTCTGGTAATGAGAAGTGTGGCTGTGGTTTTAAAGCCACAGATTGGTACCTATGCTATGCCTGGCCTTGTGGGTATAAGTCAAGATGATGACTTATTAACAGCCGCAAAGCTTGGAAAGCTTTGAATGAAAGGGGTTTATGCTTAAGGCCTTCTTTCTGAGGATAGAGAATTATAGGTTGCTAGATGGGATGACAGACAAGTCAGATCTGTTTTAGAAACCTGTTGTCACCTGTGTTGCAATGTTTTCTCAGTGCATCTATTCTTTCCCTCAGCCTCCAGATGCCCTGAGGGTTATTAATGTACTCTCTACCAAAACTCTGTTAAAAACAAAATGTAAAACAAAGACTAGAAATAATATTTGTCAGTGCCACGAAAAGAGACAAGAAGCCATTATTATTTGCTTAGGAAATTCTGTAGCGGTAGCTCTTAGCTCTTGAAAACATCATATGGTTCTAGACTTGCTCCAGACCTACAAAATTGATTTACTTGAGAAAAGCCAAGTTATCGATATTTTTATTTTAAAGACTTCTTTGATAAAAAAATTTTTTAATATCAAAAATATAAAAAGACATGCAGTAAAGTCTTTTTCCCACCCTGTTCTTCATCGCACACATCCCAAATTAGTTTTATTAGTTTGTTATTGTATTACCAGTGAGTTTCCCTTCCAGAGATCTTTTTTTACAATCAAATACAAGTATATATTATTTTCCCCCTCTTTTTGGGGAAATGATATACTAACAGATGTATTATTATATTATTATATACTATTGTATGTTATCTCTATATATTATTATATACTAGCATCTGTAAGTATATTATTCATATTCTGTACAATGCTGTTTTAGATTTAACAATATATCTCGAAAATCTTTCCACATCGATACATAAAGAACTACATTTAAAAAAATATTTGCATGGTATTCCATTGTCTGGATACACCATAATTAATTTAACTCGTTCCTCTTAATGGACATTCTGGTTATTTTCAAACTTATTTAAAAAAAACTGCAGCCCTGGCCGGGTTGCTCAGTTGGTTAGAGCATCGTCCCAACATGCCATGGTTATGGGTTTGATCCCCAGTCAGGGCACATGCAAGAATCAACCAATGAGTGCATCAATAAGTGGAACAATGAATCGATGTTTCTCTCTCTCCCCTGTCTTCTATCTCTCTAAAAATCAATCAATTTTTTTAAAAAAGGAAAAATTAAAAAGCTGGAAAAAATAATCTTGTCCACTCATTGTTTTTCATATGTATGTGTATACCTATAGGTTATATCTCTATCAGTAGAAGTTTTTATTGAATGTATTGGGGTTATGTTGGCTAATAAAATTATACAGGTTTCAAGTGTACAGTTCTATAGCACATCATCTGTATACTGTATTGTGTGTTCACCACTTAAAGTTTAGTCTACTGTCATCATTTATCCCCTCGTTAGTCTCATCTCTGTGGGCTAGGTTTGGCCTAGCCAAAAGTTTGTCCCTCCTCCCTAAAGCATTATATTTTTCAGACCCTGCAATGCTACTTTGCTTTGGAGAGCAGGCACCTTCAGATTGGTGTGGCCTAACGCATTGGTGGCTTAACCTCTTTGAATTTCCTCTGGTTTCATCTGGCTTTGTAATGCTGCTGCTCTCAGGAGACTGTAGCCCCACAGCTAATAATTAGTAAAATGAGGTGTATACAGCTAGCTCAAAGATAATCATTTTCTGCAAGAAAAAAAGTCTTATATCTATCTTTCACATTGGAAGAGAGCTAAAAAGGACCTTTTTATCATTTTCAGCTATGAAATAGCAAAGAACCTACAGTCATTTGTGGGGGAAAAAAAAGCACTGGGGGAACAGTGATGACATGGTCCTTTCTCTCAGGGACTCTACAACATGCAAGTAAATAAGCAAGAAACCATCTGTGACATATGTTTTGAAAACCATAAAATAGCGTGATTGATGGGGTGATCAAGAAAGGCCTTTCTGTAAGTATAAGCTGAGACATGAGTAACAAGAAGGACCCAGCTACATAAAGGTCTGGCCCCAGCGCACCAGACAGAGGGGACAGTAAGTACAAAAGTCTAACTGAGAGAAAGCCTGGTATTTTTGAGGAGTAGAAAGGAGGCAGTGTGACTTGAGCTTGGAAGGAAGGCAGGAGTGGCCGACATAGATCTTGTAGAGGAAATGAGAAGCAGCTCATATAGGGCCTGCAGACTGTGAGAAAGTTTGCGTTTTATACCAAGTGGGGTAACCACTGGAAGGGGGTTTAAGCTGAAGAGTGATGTGGCTTAATTTTTGTTTTTAAAAAATGCCCTCGGGGTGGTTTGAGAATGGATTGTAAAGCAACAGGAGAGGAAGTGGAGAAACCAGTTAGGAGGCTGTTGTGATTGTATAGACGAGAGATTATCGTGGTTTGCATCAGGTGTGTGCAGAGAACAAGAAAAAGGAAAGAATTGGTGATGTCGCAGGGTCTTAAAGTGGGGGGCCTGCAGATGTGAGAGATGGCCTTTTGGCAGTTGGGGCAGTATGAGGGAACTTGGGTGTGGAAAGGGGTATGTGAGTGAGAGAAACAGTCATTGAAGAAGCAAAGTGTCGGAGGAGGGAAGGAAGAGATGCGGACTAAAGTAGGGCTTTCAGACATGAATGTGTGCGTGCATCCCCTGGAGATGCCGTCGTTAACATGCAGATTCAGTCGTTCTGGGGTGTGGCAGCAGTGGTGCATTTCTCACTCTTTCTGTGATTCGAACACCACTCTGCAGTAGCCTCAAGGTCATCGTTTGACTGTCAGCATCTCTGTGCAGCTCCCTATGTGAGCTCATTTTCTATAACACGACAGAGGGGCACATGCTTCTTTACTGTGCCTTTTCATGTGTTTTTCGTGCCTGAAAATATATTTAATGCTTTCAGAAAGTATCCCTGCCTGCTTTTGCAGGCAAAGGTTTATTTTATTTTATTTTTGTCTGTTTTTGAACAGATCCTTGTCTTTCTTTCATTCCCCACCAGAAAGCAGCAGAGAGTTTTCTTCCCTTCTTTCCCCATTCTCTCCGAGGGTCTGTAGTCACCAAGGTCCCTACTCCATCCCTCCCTCTTCCAACTAGCTCATTGCCATCAGCACGGAACTTTTTCGTCAAAGTTC